TCTTGCTTAGATGTGGGAAAAAGTCTTTTTTCAGGCCATTTTGAGCTTGTAATCAATCCCACAAATGAAGTGCCCAGACTGTTTATACCATCTATTCACCTTACTGACTGCACTCCCCATTTAAAAATGTAATCTTTCTTCTCTTTAATATTTCTACAACAATAGGCTAAAATGACAACAAACGATGGGTCTATCTCAGCTGCTATTGTGAAAGGTGTTATGTGTACATGTCACCAACTTCATGGTGTGGATTGGTGACCTCACTATCTAAAGCTTTCACATGATTATTCTTATCTCTATGAACCAAGTATGGGATTTTTTCTCTAAGATGTTGTTGCATGGGTTTCCATGTGGTCATCAAGTATGACTGAGAATTACTTAAAACCGTTCATCCAGCAGCTTCAGGCTGTGGGAGCTGAGGTGATTATCTTTGTAGTTAGTTTGCAATGTACGGTGGGGTCCTATGACAGTTACCTCACAGATTTGGTTGCTAGTGAATAAAGTTTTCCATCATTCATCAACATGTACCACTGGATTATGCTAATAATTCAGGCTTAAATTAGTTTTACAAACAGTTTGATAACAGATGATATTTTTAGCATTTTGTATTTATAACAATCTTGCAAGCGACATGTGAAATGCGTTGAAGAACTATGCCAAGTCTCATTTTAAAAACAATGCAACGCCCTCTGTATTGTCTGGCCGGAGACTAAATGAATAATAAACACTATGTATTTTTCTATGGTCCTCTGAGTTTGTTGTTGATACAGTGAACAGGTTTTGTGACTATTTATATAAATAATAATTATCCGGTACTTACAGTCCCGATACGTGTTATTGCATAATATGTAATTCCCAGTGCTGAGTAAAAACAGAGCTGAATCCTTTTCACAAGTTGGAACATTTCTCTCTCATTTAATTTTGTTCTAAATGTACTTGGGCAACAAATCTCAAAAGACATGGACCATGGTGGACTGCATGGGTTGGGTGATGGCGTTTACTTTACTAAGTTATCCATGCATCACTGGCATCTGGGATCTCAATACCTGCCTGACTATCATTCTAATTTCCCATTCATTTTGACATGAATGTGCTTATTTGCATAAACAGGTGGTACATGTCTACAACAGCATGCATTGGACAGATATTTTTATTTTCTGTCTTGGCAAATCACATTACAGGTGGGATGATAATGATTTTTTCCCCCACATACCTTCAACATTGTTCCTGGTTCCTGTTATCTATATTAGGAATTATGAAACAGTCCAACATTTTGGAAAGAAACTTATTATTGCTCTCATAGAATCTTGAATTCAGTGTAGAATCTATGGGAAATGGCACATATGACAGTTCCAACATAATCAAAAACATTTACGGAATATAAACATCAAAACGTTCACTGGCAACCGAATAACAATTTGTCGATCATTTAGATGAGCTGTTCAATCCCGGAAGAAGATTTTCACGAAACACACACAGTAGGGGTAATGCTGAATTGATGATCAACTTCTCAGTTGGATTCATAAACCCTGACCTAGAGCAACACATTGCTAGGAGAGTACATACAAAAATCTAAGTACAATAATCACATTGACTCCCAGTATTTGCTTTTATACAGCTCTGTCATATATTTTTATTACTGTATTATGTATGCTTTTAAATAAAATCTCAATGCAGTGGTCGACGAGTTGTATATACTGTAACCTTTTGCCAGTAGAGGTCTCTATGTCACCAGCTGCTCAACATTCTGCTGCAGATGCCTGTTGCGTGTGTGATATTATCCACTGTAGACACTGTAGGCATTCTGTTGATGATATAGAATACAAAGTTTTTAACCACATAAATTCTTCAAGAACTAGGATTATTTGACTGGTTTCGGGATACCAGGTAAATCAAATCAGAAGCAGGTCAATACTGTGCCCAGGTATTTTACTTAGGCCAACTCTTTATGGAGAGAGAAATTACATTATTTATGTTTACTGTACTTCTCAACTGGCAGTGTATAAAACACTGGCTTCGATTTAACTGGCTGGACTACCAATGTATCACTGCCACAGGTTGTGTGGCATGTTATTCTCATTAAACCTTTACCTTCACATGAATCTGATTGCAGTTATGAAGTGTGTTTGTGTTGAAAACTATTTGATGAAAAATTCCAAATGACAGACTGAGTTGGAGGATGCACAGAGGGGATGGTAAAGAGGTTTGCCATGTGAAAGACTTGCAATTATAGCGGATAAATACATTTTTAGCAACCGCCAGTTTGACTGAATGTGTGTTTGTCTGAATTACATATTTCTCTACCTTTGTAAACATTGAATCACATACAGTAGATCTCATGTACTGCCAGCGAAAGACAGAGCAGTCTGTTTAATTACTGAACACATTTTAGGGCTTAGAGAACCATGTGGAGAAAACAAACATGGTTCTGTTTCATTCGCCGTTGTTCCTAATCAAACTCCCATAAAAATATGTCTTTCATTCGCTCTATGGCAATACCACGATAACAGAGTGATTTTTCAATGTTTTCTTTCAAATATATGTCAAACAAAATACATTGTATGCAAAGATAAATAAACCATACAACACTATACACCAAAAAACCTGTAGCATTAAATGTAGCATTAGATACGAAATGTCACCTTGCGTATTAAAAACACGCAACTACAGTAAGTTTAGTGGATCAACACCCAGCAACACAGTTGTGTGACAGAACAATATAATAGGTCCCTGATGTATACTGTTTATGGAAATGCCCCTTTCCTTAACATTATATCTGGGATATGTTTAGAGAAAGCTGAACTCAATTTCAATGGAAGGCAGTCTATCCAGGAAGTCAACAGAAATTCCAGATCAGTGATTGAAAATGGGGCATCTATTTGAGTGATTTCTCTAGAAACTAAAAAGGATAAGCTATTTATGTCAAAAGTCTAAACATGTTTAGATACACAAATGCAATCACTTCCCGAATTGACTGCTTTCCTTTCAAATCGAAACAACCATGACTACAATACTTAGATTTCTGACGCCTTTGATTAAGCTTCGAAGCTGGTATGCTCAAAAGAGTTGGCAGCTGTTTTCCTGTCCATGTCGGTGTGTATTGGCGTCTACCTTTATTCCAATTAAATCTAGCAAGAGGTGAAGTTGCACTACCAGTGCACAGATGCACTGCGCCCAGCTGCTCTGAGACAGCTTGACACTGTGGTACTTAGGCGGATGGCACCAGAGCTAACGAAAAAGGAGGAACAGGACTACCGCTTGCTTTTTTTCACTCCATCACGTAGTTGGCAAAAGAGACGGAAAGAGGGAGAAAACTCGGCAGATCCGATTGAACAGCAAAGAGAAAGCTCTTGTCATCTGCCCAATGCTCTCCTGCACAGCTGTACTCTCACCAGCATTACAGACACTCTCTGTGGTCAGTCACATTTTGAATAATTTCAAGTGAGTAAGAATTCCAAATGAGCGAGGATTCCAAATGAGTAAAGATTGCAAATGAGCAAGGATTACATTAAAGCAAGGATTCCAAATATGTAAAAACCTCAAATGAGCAAGGATGCCAATTGAGCAAGGATCCCAAATGAGCAAGGATTCCAAATGTCTAGGATTCCAAATAAGTAAAGATTCCAAATGAGCAAGGATTCCAAATGAGCAAGGATTCCAAATATACAACTATTCTAAATATGATACGATTCCAAATAAGTAAAAAAACAAATGAGCAAGGATTCTAAATGAGTAAGGATTCAAAATGAGAAAGGATTCTCAATGAGTAAGGATTCCAAATGAGTAAGGTTTCCAAATGAGAAAGAATTCCAAATTGCTAATTTTCAGTGGGGTAGATACGATTTCCCAAATTATAAACTGTCTTTTTTTTGGGAAGCCAGCAAACTTGCAATTCCACAAATGCACACTGTGTACAATAGTGTGTAACATCAGTGTAGGACCAATATTTAAGATATTTATGGATCTAAAATTGATTCCCTATTTTTTATGTATGTCAAAACAAAACGACACATCAAGTATGCATAAATAGCAGCATTTACAGTCAGAAGAGTCATAATGTTCAGCAAAAATAATAAAACATGTTGCCCCATATCTTTATTTAAATATACAACTTTTTTCACATTCAGTATGCTAGATGTAGGCTGCCCCCTTTACCGTTTCTTGCCTCCTTGCAATTGAATAACTCTCTTCATGTTTCTCTCATGCTGCTCGGTTTTGATCAATCTGATAATGTAGCCCATGTTTTGGCTTCATATTTTGATCATTTGAGATTAAGCAGCTGATAACAAAAACCTGCGGCTAACTGAATGAAAAATCTAAAATAAACATTGCCTATGGCCTAAATATATAGGCAAAGTAGTGATCTTTAACTCTAACAGAAGCAGTGGGTAGTCTAATCTGTAGCCTAGGCTTGTGATATTTTTAGCTTTAATATGTCTTGATGTGAAGTAACAAACAGCAGGAAACTATAGAGCATACAAAATAACTTAATGTTTGTGTCAACCTAGATTAGAGGAAATACATGGGGATTTTAATGGGAATGCCCATTCACGGTGCCAGGCCATGCAGAATGAACAAGCCCACTGTCAAACTCTGATAACAGGCTATTTTATGGCTGCCCAGAGGTGGAAATCTAGTGAATACCTACCATGCAATGTGTATCAAAGCATGCATACATTGTAAATTAGCCTACAAAAAGGTTATAGAATTTATTTTTGGATTTTTTTTTCAAATATTCACAGGGTTTTGTTAGGGCCATTTCATTACTGATGTTAAAACATATAGTCGAAGCCTGCAAGGAAACAGGAAGGAAGTCAGAAGGAAGGCCAACTTTAAACTCTGTGACACTTTGCTTAACTTCAGGTTTAAATAATCAGCCCAGACCACAGATAAAGAAGTGAATACCTACAAAATATCAAACTGCCTGAAGATACCACATTCATCTGTACTAACAATAGTAGATTTTAAAACCTGAATGAAAAAATCACAAAGAATATGGAGGAGTTGGTAGCTCAGTGGTAGAGTGCTACATGCTTTGTATGTATGATGTCCTGGGTTTAATCCCAGCTTCACCCCAGGTTGCTGTTGCAAATGAGAAATTGTTCTCAATTGGCCTACCTGGTTAAATAAAGGATGGGAATTTCACTTTTGAATCTGACAGTTTTCTTTGGGCTGTTGACCAAGTCAATTTCAACATTTAAATTCAGCTTTTTATTATTTTGTGCAAACTACAATTGGGGAATACCTCGAAAATCAATCTCAAAACCTACTGTTGCAAATTGAAACAATGCACAATCATTGTTTTGTATATTCTATACATCTACCATTCCATCTGATTATGAGACATGTAGACTACTCATAACACACATAGAGAAACAGTAGCCCAAAATTACCAAAAAGTAATTTGTAGCTTGCACCGAATCGACATCATCCAAGCGTGGAAGTGTAATTTCCTCCTGTCCCCTGAGCCAAGGCCCGGAGCTTACTTGACTTATTTTATACCTTGCTCTATTTGGAATTATTATTCGAAAGGATTTGAGGTTTAGCTCAGGAGTTGGAGAAAACAGGGTAGCGGGTTAAGTTGACAGGTTGGGCCTACAGTAAGCAGCAGTTGAGAGGCTACTAAACTGCGGATTGCTGTTGCAATATTATGAATACCCCGTTACTATTTTAATTAGTCACTGCTATGGTAGTTTGGAATGTTAACACATTTCCATTGTCACAGTGGTCGACATTGCTTAAAAACAGACTATTAGCAACCACAGCATACAGTATACCATGTATGTTTTCATTTTTTGTTTTGTTTTTTAGGACTGACAGGATTAGTTAGTCCACATTTATGACACTACGTCAATATTATGCAAGAGGAAAGCTATAGCCGATCCACAAGAACAAGTTCTTTCTGTTTTTGAGAACAACAGAGAGTAATGACATCTGGACAGGGATTCACAAAACACTTTACTAGAAATGTCACATAATATGTTTTGGTGAATCCAGGATTATACGCTCTGGTTTTTGCTTATTTGTCAAATGTTACACTTTCACCTTATTATGCTCAGCTTGGTTGTTCATCATAGAAATCCAACTTTCAGTAAGAAAATATCCTTTTGTCAAAACAGCAAACAATCTGTTGAAGTTCAATGATTTATAGGATAAAACAAGATGGTTGTGGTTTCTTCTGTGAGCTAGGAGTGATTGTTCTGAAACAGATTTTTGGTTATCCATAAACAATGAATCGTCCTAAAATAACTATAGCCTGTGGTTGTGATTTTTCTGAACACTGGCTGCAGCATTTAGAACACACATTTTAAGACATATACAAAACACCGCAAAAAAAGCAAAAGCACACCACATGAACAGTCAAGAGACCCTGCCTAGTTAGCGTATGTACTGGGTAAATATAGAACATGTAGTATGTATCTTAATTGTGCAAGAAAAGGCCAATGTCCAGTTAGAGTGCAGGATGTCCACTGCGTCGGGGGAGGAGGCATATTCCTTAGACTCACCGCCGTGGGGAAGAAGCTTTCTTGTGGCGGGAGGTTTTGATCTTGGTAGACTGTAGCCATCTGCCAGAGGGGAGAGTTCTGAATAGTCCGTTACCCGGATGGGAGGGGTCTGCCTCGATCTTTGCTGCCCGCCTAAGTGACCTGGTTTTGAACAGGTCAGTGATGGACGTCAGTTTACAACCAATGGTCCGTTCCGCAGAGCGAATGATGGGTAGCAGTCTGTCTTTAACCTTGACAGTGGCTGCAGCGTACCCTACGGTGATGGAGGAGGTCAGGATGGACTCAATGATGGCTGTGTAGGCGTTAAACGTCATGGTCGTTGGCAGCTTGTACTTTTTGAACTGCCGCAGGCAGTACTGTCTTTTTTGTGCTTTCTTAGTGTGAGAGGTGATGTTCAGCTCCCACTTGAGCGAAAGGACTCCACTATGTTGACGGGGGAGCCATCCAGGACAATGGGACAAGTCCACTCTCATCTACCGGTACACTGTCTTTAGAGCATTTAACTCCAAGTTGTTGAGAGTGCACCAGAACACCAGCCGATCAATTTCCCCCTGTAGACTGTCTCGTCCCCATCAGAGATTAGGCCGATGAGGGTGGTGTAATCTGAAAATTTCAAAAGTTTGACAGAGTGGTGACTGGAGGTGCAGTTGTTGGTGTAACAGAGAGAAGAGAACGGGGGACAGGACACAACCTTGAGGGGAGCCAGTGCTGATGGTCAGAGGGTCCGGCAGGTGTTACTCCAACCTCACATGCTGCCTCCTGTTGGACAGGAAGTCTGTGATCAATTTGCATGTTGACAAGGGCACTCCCATGGTCGAGAGCTTATCCTGGAGGAGGGCTGGGAATATGGTGTTATAAGCAGAACTGAAAACTCCACAAACAGGATTCTGGCGTATATTCCCGGGGAGTCAAGATGCTGGAGAATGAAGTGGAGAGCCATGTTGATCGTGTCGTCCACAGACCTGTTGGCTCTGTAGGCAAACTGCAATGGGTCTAGTACTGGATCATTGATAGTCTTGAGGTGTGACAGCACCAGGCGCTCAAAGGACATCATAACCACAGAGGTCAGGGCAACTTGTCTGTAGTCATTTAGCCCTGTGATCCTTTGTCTCTTGGGGACTGGGATGATGGTAGAGGACTTGAAGCATGCTGGGACGCTGCATGACTCCAAGGATGTATTGAAAATGTCTGTGAACACTGTAGATAGCTGGTCAGCACAGTGCGTGAGGGTGGAGGCCAGGCCAGGCCCCCACATTGTTTTGTAATTTGTCGAATTTTCTGTCAATCACCTGATATTCATGTTTTTGGCTGCTGATTGATCCAATTTACAAGTGACCCACGTGGGAAGCATGATATGACAGCCTATCAGAATGTAAAGAAACAGTTACGTGATCTTCTCTAGTAGTCTCTTCAAAGTTATGCTAGTCACAGAGGCTGCAATTTTTTTCGTCAACGAAATTTGTTCATATTTTTTCGAGACGATACGGTCCCGAAGCGTGGTGCAGCCCTGCACATAGACAGACAGCGCGCGAGGACTGAATTGAGCTCTCTTTCGCGTCTGAATTGACAAATACAAACAACATTATGTCTAAATGTCCGTTTTGGAGAGTATTCACGTAAACACAGTCGGTTATGTCTTTACAGAACGTACAGTTGTGAGAATATCGGATGTGCATCAGTGCAATTGGATCTGCTGCACACTCGGTCTTAAAGTGACAGTGCGTAATAAACCTAATGCCGTCTGTACACTAAATATTAATCAAACAACAAAATAAAAATAGAAAAGCATTCACTGCTCTTTAATAGCTTCAATAAGGATTAATTATACTTAAATTATACAAATAAATATGTATGCTTGAAAGAATATTTACATTGCTGTTGTGGATTTTTTTATGGAATACTGTCTTCGTTAGGCTATATCGCCCCGAGAGAAACTTATTTCTGCTTTTGTTGTATATAGACAAACGTGATCATTAGACTTTATTTTTTATTGTGGGCCTAAAAAACCTCTCAGCCCCAGGGCCTACGGTAGGTTAATGCGGGCCTGGTGGAGGCAGAGACTCCATCAGGTTGACTGGCAAAAAAAAGAGTGTGACCTAGATGTTACTATTTTAACTACATAAAACCATGATTTTTTTTAAATATTTACAAAATGAACTCCTGTGTTCTCTGCCGGGGCTGCCTCGCAGGTCACCATGGCAACTAAAATAGAATAATTGAATGGTCTAAACATGAAGCTGTGTTCTAATGTATATGGTAAAGGTTTAACCTAACTAGTCTACCTTGTAGAAATATATTATACTCAACTTCTTAATTAAATGGACACGACTCCTGTGTCTTCGTCTCCTGTCATGCTGGGATGCCCCGAGCTGCGCTCACTATGGACAGGTGTGCGGGTAGATTGTCTCCATCATCTGGATGATTTTAGATGGGGGTCTAGTGCCGTTGTTATAGTGAAAAATCGTCATGATGACGCAAGTGTAACAGGATCGTGGGTAGTTGGTAATCTTTGCAGCGTTTTCAAATCGGTTAATTATTACATTATTTCATTTTATGGTTCGAGAAAACATTTTTAGCTTCATTCATTTTCCAATAACGTGCTGTGCCTACACCAATTGCAGATCAGCCTCTGGGCGTCAGAGCAGAACCTCCTTGTTCCAGAGGTCTCCAACCTGCTCCTGGAGAGCAACTGTCCAAGTTTTTTTCACTCCAACTCTGGACTGGAGTCCCCCGCTCTACTGCATACTAAACATCTTCTTTTTTAGCATCACCTGATAATTAAAAAAACAATGTTACTTATGAGTTCGAAGCGCCAACCATTTGGTCATGGCAATTGTCTATATGACAAGACAAACACCACTGATGACTCAGGATTGATTTGGATTGACCTCTAAGACAATGGGGATGACCAGCATGTTTTCCCTGGCTGTCCCCTTTCAATTGACCAATTAACGTTTAATTTTTACAAGCAATGCTCAATGCCTTGAAAACAGAGTGTGGTGAGTTTTGGTTCTACACAGGGAAGTCTGAGCGGGGTGTACTTCCTGTGTCAGGTGATTGTTTTGGTGTTAGCACGGCTGGGGCTTGTTAGCAATCACTGGAGATATTTAACACTACTTTGGGTTTCATCTTGTTGGTTATTACTTCAAAGTCACGCTGCAGTAGGGGTGAGTGTTTGTTGTTAGATGTAACAATTTTTATCACTAGTAGCCGCTTATTTAAGCGCGCTTTGATTTCTGTTACTGTGTATATATCTTTGCCATTCGTTGTATGTTTTCTATATTAAAAGAATACATATGGCTTATTCCACACTTCACCCAGCTAGGATCGTGACAGCCTTATTGCTTGTTTTCCTTTATGTCCGCACAATGGGATTAGAATATAAGGGAATGCCATGGGAGGGAGGTCCTGTATACATTAACAGAATTGAAATCGGGGGATAACATTTTAAGCCTCTTTACTTGTCCAGTCAGGTAGAAACACAGGAAACTGCCTCTAGATCCACATGGACTCAATAGCCTTATTCACCCAGATGCAGCCAGCTGAGGAAATTAATTAACTGGAGACACAT